GGGTTAAGACTTTGAGGAATTGATATACCTGTAGGATCTAGGTAAGCCCTGCCAATTAACAAGGGAAGGACCCCAAATGCGACGCTCAGATTTTCTTCAAATTTCGCGCACAAGTCGGACAAAGAGTGAATATGAATTCCTGAAAGTTTTAGCTAGTGCTTTGCAGGCGCCACCGAGATACTGAACTATCGTTGCCGCCGAGAGAGTACGCGGTCAGAAAGAAAAACACTTTTTGGCCATAACTTTGCCAGTTTCATGCGGAAAAAATTGATTTTTTGTGGACACATTACCCTCTATGGTAGAAATGGGCATGAAAATGCCTAATGCTGAAATTCGACAAAAGTCTCAAATTTTCGCCAACTTTCGATCTGAAAATCATGGTCGTTTCTGCAAAGCGAGAGCTAGGATTCTCGCACATGTTCTAGAAAAAGTTATGATAAACTTGTGTCAAGTTTCATCAAAATCAAAACGTCGCTCTCGGGGTACTTCCCCTGTAAGATTAAGGAAGTGAAAACCATTTTGTCGGCTCTCCCTTTGTAAGCCTGCACGCCTAATTTGTTTACTCAAAAAACATCTTATTTCCCCGTGAAAACACTTTCAAATTCCACGGCAATTCCAATTAATCAGCCATTTCCTCCGTTACAAATTTCCGTACAAGTCAGTACCGTCAACATTTCGCCTGTTTAAAACCTCTCCTCCCCCCAAACTTTTGCCATTAATTCCGCCAACATCAGCAGACATGGGGCTACTGCATGTTACAGTAAAAGTTGATTGTAAGTTGAGAGCAATTTGTTTTACGAAAACAGTCGAAGCATTTGTGAAACGCCGCGTTTCTCCGATTTTTGTTTTTCCCCCCGCGGCCCCCCTCCCCCGACTTAAAGTGTACGAAAAATGGGGGAGAAAAGGAGCGAAACGTTGCGCGCGGCCCAACGAATTTTACTTTTTAAGTGGTAGTTGTTGTGTGTATACAATCTACTCGACGTTTCATTGGTCTTAAATTAACATGGAAGGTGTGTGGAGTGGGACAGTAAAATTTTTTTATTTTTTGTTATATGTTGTGTATATGTTTTTGGAAGCTGTAGTTTGCAGCTGAATTAGGGGAAAAAATCTTTTTTTGGCTATATCTTGGCCAAATTTGCGAGGAAAAATTTGTTTTTTTGTAGAAACATTACTTTTTATGGTAGAAATCGGCATGAAATTTTTCGTATATGAACTTGCAAAAAAACCTTAATATTTTGACAAAATTACAGAGTTAAAATCTCGGTTGTTTCTGCATTTTTTTGTTTTCAAACCTGCGTAAAAAATCACTGGAAATTTTGTCTTCTTTGTTAGAATTTTTTTTCGCAAAAATGCTCTCTACTTTTTGCCAACTTAGACCATAGAAATGATTGAAAAATTTGTTATGTTTCTGCAAAGCGCGAGCTAAAAAATCTCATATCAGTCTGTTGGGAAAATAATGAGCATAATGTCGCTTCGTCGATCGCGTTGCTGAAGGAAAAAACCACCTTGATTTTGTCGCGACAAGATTCATTTTCTCCGCGGCGATGCGATTTTCGATGCGACAGAGTGCTCATTATTTTCCCGACAGACTGATATATCTCCAATAAACATGTCTTCTATACATATCCCATAAAGTTTCATCAAGAGTCTGGGCGTCGAACTTCTAGACAACCGCTGTAAAGACGGATTCAAATTTCACTTTTTTCCCTTCTCAAGGTCGCCATCGCTCTTTTCTCCGGCGATTTCCCCCTTTTCGGATATCAATATTTCCATTCAACGTTGAGACGGTGTAAAGTTGTAAGAAGTACACTTGATACCGGAGGGGATTTTTGAAGAAACAACCAGTTTTTTTTTCGAAGGTGTAACAGTAAATGTTGCCCTTTTGTTTATGGAAATTGTGGGATGATTAAATTAGTTGTTGATCCTTTAAATCGTAAAGTAAGCAATTTCTGGTGGCTGGTTGGTGTTGTGGGTATTAAACTACCGTAGATGGTGTTATTTAGACAAAAAAAATATTTTTTTTCCTCGCAAAAGTGGCAAAGATAGGGTCGAAAAGTGTTGCGTTCTTTGAAACTGCTTCTCTATTCTTTCAACAGCAAGGCAAAGGTTGTTGATTTTTTTTGGTTCGTTGAGATCTAAAATTTTTAGGAATATATTTATATCAGTCTGCCGGGAAAATAATGAGCACAGTGTCGCTAAACCAATCGCGTCGTTGAACAAAGCGATTTGATTTTGCCGCGACACATTTCATTTTCTCGGTGGTGATGCAATTTTTCATCCAAAATTGTGCTCATTATTTTCCCGACAGACTGATATATTTTCGGTTATGTTGTGTCACGACAACCGAGATTTTCAGGTCGGAGGTTGACCGAAACACGAGTGTCTTTTGCGAACTTCTCTATTGAAAAACTTCAGCCTGATTTTTACAGTGGCGGATCTGATCCAGTGGCAAAAAATTTTCCATTTTGCATCAGGGAAGTATCAAAAATGCAGCAAAATACCCTCCTCTCCAAGTGAAAAAACTCCGATTTCAAAAAAAAATTTTTGAGGAAAAGGGCGCGCCCTTCAAAACGGAGCTTTTTTTAGTTGAAGAGGGAGGCATTTTGCCACATTTTTTGATACTTCCCGGATGCAAAATGGTACGTTTTTTGCCACTGGATAAGGTCCATCACTATGTAGCCCGTTCGCAAAGCCGCTGGGATGACTTTTCGCGTCGAGTCCAAAAAGCCGTGCAAAAAAACTTGTGTTTTCTCACAGTGCATGTCGCAAAAATCACTGCAGCGACATTGCGAACAGACTAGTGTCAGTCTGTAGGGAAAATAATGGGCATTTGAGCTCTTTCTCGCTGAATTTTCAGCAATTCCTTTTCTGTATATTGAAAATTTAAACTTCAGACGTGCAAATTAAGCATTTCAACTCCTGCAGCTCGATTACAATCACTATACACTTTTCATTTCTGTCCCCAACGTCCTCTAAAACACATTTGCCCGCGCGTTATCTCGCCACCATCTCCGGAAAAAAGATCTTTTTTCTTACACCCTTCGTATGCCTCAACTTGACGGCGAGCCTGTAGCTTTTCGTTATGAAGTAAAAACCCCTCATAACCCGCGGTTAACACAGCTCCTCGCGGCTTTCCCAACTCCAAAACAAAGCTCCTCTGCGCGCATTAGTTCCGAAACATATTCTCCGTTACGGTAAATAAACAGAACGTCTTGCTCCGCGCTTTGTACGTTTTTATTGAGTTCCGGATGGGGGTTTTGTCAAGACTCGGGTTTTTATTTATTTGTCGCTTGTATTTGAGTGGTTTACAGGAACTCGGTTTGTGGGTTATTTTTTATTTATTTATCTATTTTACAAAAGAGATGGTAAATTTGAGAGAACGGGTGAATTGATGGCTTTATTGGGGCTTGGGGATGAGAAAACGGGGCTAATTGGATGGAAATGGCGGAAAAGATGTTTTGAAAAAAACACAAGTAAATTTGCAGACTGCAAACATGATTTTATGGTTCTTTGATCACTATTAGCTCTATATATACACTGTGGAATCGCTGCACATCAAACCCCCTTAAATAAAGCCTTTCCATATTTCATAGCTCCCAAGGGTCATTCTTACTAGGGAAGTGTACATACGAACCCTAGCCAAATGATAAGTGACACACGTAATTGAAGAAATACCCGTTTTAAATACAATAACTATCCCAATTATAATTTTAGTAAATAAATAATAAAAATTTGGTTTCCTTGGCAGACTTGCATAGGAATCTTGCGCATGAAAACTTACTTTTTTAAAGTGGAAATAAGGTTAAAATATGTAGTTTTCTTAACAAGGAAAGTACTTCTATACGGTATGGAGTTACAGATAGAGATCTATATCAAAAAAATCGCAAAATTTTGTTGATACAGAAGATGTAAAAATTAGCTGCCCAACTTTGGTTTGTAACGGTGAAAAACCCCTCAGAACCTTTCTCGCAACACCACGCAAATACCCCTTTTTTTACAGTGGAACTATGTACTAAATAAGGTGTAGTATAAATCAAATATGGTAGTTTAAAGCTTATCAAGATGCCAGAGGGTTTACTTTAGCTCCAAAGAAAGCTTTTGAATTGGTAAAAACTGTTTCAAAATTGTATTTGCATGGTGTTGCGAGAAAAGTTCTGAGGATTTTTCACGCTTACAAACCAAAATTGGCAGCTAATTTTTAGATATTCTGAATCAGAAAAATTTTGCATTTTTTTTGATATACTTCTCGACCTGTAACTCCATACCCCATAGAAGTACTTTCCTTGTTAGCAAAAATGAAATCTCTGTACAACAAACCCTTTCTATTAAAAAAAATTTTTTTCACTTGCAATTTGTCGTCATAGTTCGTTTTCGAAGTCGCTGAAGCGATTTCTACGACATGAACTGTAAGAAAAAAGTGCGTCTTGCCTTTTTACACCGTTCAATAGGCTTCTTTTTGGCCTCAAAATATCTTGGCTCTCCCTATAACTTGCGAGTTAAAATTTTCAGTGATTAACACACGGCCAACCTAGTTTCTGTCCAAATATTTTTTCCTTACCGCAATTCAGCCTTTTGCAGCACTTGACTTTATTCTTCTACCCTAAAATTGTTACATTTCCCTTGAAAACCCTTTAATTCCGACCTCATTTTTCGCCCTCCTTCTGTCACCAACCACCATAACAACTTGTCACTTGACCTACTGTCCTCAGACCTTTTTGAGTGATTCGGTTTTTATACGCGTTAATTCGCATTAAATTCGCCTCCGGCGACTCCCGGTCGCCGCGCTCCCTTTTTCGCGCGCTTCTTTTTTCTTTTGTCTTCGGTTGGCGTGCGCGTTTTGTGAAATTGACGAATAATTACGCGGAGACAAACAAAATCCGTATGTAGAATGTAATATACCATGTATTCGCCCATGTTCTCTGCAATTTCAGACGCAACGTCGAGCGGAGAAAAGAGAAGGAGCCTAAGGGAGAGAAAAGAACAAGGTCTGCAGAGAAAGGATGACTCGAATCAAGAGGGGAAGGATAACGACAATATTGGCAGTGCTCATGGTGGTCATGCCAATCAGTTGGGCACAACAGCAGTTCTTTGTAAGCGACCCTTAGAAAAGACTTCAGATCTCTGCACAAACAATCAAAAAGGTCCGAAAATTGTTTTGTTATAGACGAGTTCTGTTCTACGGGGGGTTATTTTGGTAGAAAATGTATTTTTAGACCTATTACATCATTGGTTATAGACTGGTTTTGTCGTACTTTAAAAATATACACCCGGCAAAAAGCGATTCCCATTTTTTCGAACGATAATTCAACGTGACGCATGCTGTTACGGACTGAGCGAAATTGGGGCGAAATTAAAGCCCAGGCCCGGCGTGGGTGCAAAACTTAAAGAAAATCTAACCCTCGCATTTGGCGTACAGCTAGATCTGATCCAGCGGCAAAAAAACGTACCATTTTGCATCAGGGAAGTATCAAAAATGTTGCAAAATACCTCCCTCTCCAAGTGAAAAAAAATCCTATTTCAAAAGCGCGCCCGGTCCTTTTGTGAGGGAAGCGCGCCCTTCAAAACAAAGTTTTTTCACTTGGAGAGGGAGGTATTTTGCTACATTTTTTTATACTTCCCGGATCCAAAATGGTACGTTTTTTGCCACTGGATCAGGCCCCTAGTGGCAAACTTTGTACTTCCCTCGTTAGTCCCAAAAAAAAAATCAATTGTATATCCTTTGTATGACCTTTTCAAAAAATTTAATTTAATTTTAAAATTCAAATCTGTACCTCTAGTTTTGTTTGCCATCCCATGGCCCACTTCCTTTCCAAGAACATAATACTACTATTTCCAGCAGCCCAACCAACCTCGAGTCTTCCCCAGCAGGTCTGTTTGTCATCTCCAACAACAAAAACTAATTCTAACTCCGTAACCCCGTAGAGTTTGTAGTAAATCTTCCATAACTACTAACTAAAATAGATCCATTAACCTTGTAGTGAAGATATCTGTTGATAAACGATTGTATTCCCTATGTTTTCCAACCAAAAACTTTAGAAATTCTCGGCAACTCTCGACCACAGCGTCCATCTCCACAAGAGCCCCCACGACCGTCAGACCAACGCTGACAACGCATAGTGGGAGCACTGGCGCTCCATCGACAACAAGGATACCTCGGATTCAGCCGAATCCCCTAGCGGCCCTGAGGCTGAGCCAATTCCGGCCGACTTTGCGAAGAGTCACCATCAAGCCGGCGAACGAATCGACGAGTCAAATCAGGTGGATTAAAGGCTTCCCCGCCTTGCACCACACTTGTTCCCCCAGCTCACAACTAGTCACACTACTAGTGCTAACCGCCTCACTAACAACTCAACGCTTTAACATAATAATTCGCGATAATAAGTGGTCCTTTAACTGGAAACAAGATTTTTAGCGCGTTCCGTCAGCCTCCTCGTCGGTTTGGGCTCGTGAATCAAGGTCAAGTGGCACCTAGAGTTACCCTTGGACCTAGACTTCCCCCGCCACCTCCTACACAGCGTCCGCAACAGGTCCCGTTGCCGCAACGGCCCCCGCAACAAGTTCAAGTGCGGCCGTCGGGGCCCGTTCCAGGCCCTGTTTTGGCCGATCCAAGGCTTACTCAGCAACCGCGACAGCAGCAAGCGAACGCGCCAGTCGGGCCAAGACGTCCTCAGGTTGCGCCGAGAACAATGCCGCCGGCTGGGCAGCCGAGAGGACCTCCACAGCCTCCGCAGATAATTCAAGCCCAGACAGGGCAAAATGGGCCAACTCAGAGAGGTAGGCGTTGAATTTAGGGCTAAATAAGGGGCTGGAAATGCAGTTCAATTGTTTATCTTGATAGGAAGAGAAAGGTTTGCCCTAAAACAGCTTGTTTACAGAATTTAGGGAGATTTTACCATTTTCAAGTACGAAATATCTCCGTTTTTCGCATTTTCTGATGCCTCAAGGTAAATCGGAGACCTTGCAAATTAAAAACTGACTAGCAGAAGTCGCAGAATTCCTAAATCTGCTTCAAAAAAAAAGAGATATTACCTCCTCTGCGACCATATCTCATACTTTTCCCTACTACAATACCTATGTCCCCTAAAAAACGTCCCATTTTAGCCTCCCGACCTACTCCACCAACAGCCCGTCCCTTCGCGGCCTCTCAGCCTCCGCCAGCGTTCCGCTCCACGCAGCCGCCAACCCGGCCGGTCCAAGTCTCCCCCACCACACCCCTGACCAACTCCATCACTCCACCTCCGCCTCAACTTGCTCCCGCTTCCCTACCGCCATCGCGGCTGACTCCCCGACCTCGAATGCCGCCGGGCGCTCATCCTCCGGGCGTTGCGCCGCCTAGTAATTCGGTGGTGGACGACTTGAATCAAGCGGCCGATTTCATGGCACTGGCGGCGAGATTGCAGCTGCGACGTTTCGCGAGACAACGACGACGTCGCTTTGCCAAGTTCCTGGAGAAGAGAATTGTCACGGCCCTCAGGGATTTGGCCAAAAATTAGAGTTTGCTTCGGAAATTGCCCGATTTTTCGCTTGAAACATAATGCCAAGAGGTTTTTTGGGGAATGAAAGTTTTCGCGGTGGGACTAAATTGAAACAGGAACGTATTTTACAAGCCTTTGGCATTCCGAAGCGAAAAGTCATCTTCAAATTCTAGCTGATCTCGTTGTCAATAACACCCAAACTTACTGTAAGATATCTTAAAACGGGATTTTTTGTCTTGCCTTAACTGCCTTTACTGCGAAATTACAGTAATCCACGTATGCACTCTGGAACATATTGCTCTTATTTCGTCGCTATTTGTCAGTAATAAATATATACTACCTCGGAATTTTATCTCGTTAAACAACTTTGACACAAAAAAATTCCGTGATGACGCAAGGTTCAGAGGACTCGTGTGAAGGCATGGCCCATGATTCAGCCATAGTTTTGCCACTGTTAGAATCGTTACATCACAAAGCATTATTTGGATTGAGAAAATTAATGAATTTTGAATTTTTTGGTAATTATGCTAATTTTTGGCATGTTTCCAGAAGTCCTAGAAAAAAGTTGTCAATATATACGAAAGTTGCTTATAATCATTCACTCTATTACCCTAAAAAGGTCCAGAGTCAATCGGGAGCTATTCGAGGAGAAACGAAAAATCTAAACATGTTACAGTATGTTTACAGTAACCCAAAAATTTAAAATTTGACGTGCCCATTTTAACTACTGTAGGAATTTCATATCGCTGATAGTATGAGTTGTGTCATTGCAAAATTAAATTTTTTTTTCTCTTCAGCAACGCGAACGGCCCAGCGGCATTATGGTCACTATTTTCCCGACAGACTGATTCTCCAATAGTCGTAGCCATAGTCAAAAATCTCAGTCATCCTGCAGAGCCAGCTGACAACTTTGCATTTTTAAACCAATTGTATTTAGAGCAATTGCTCCAAAACTGGGCCAAGTTTCATTGTAATCTGAATGCCCCAGTTTGAGAGCTCCCCCCGTTGAAGAGGAGCCGCTCTTTGCGACCTTGCTTCCTTCATTTGCGGACTTTTTTCGGCGGGGACACAAGAAACAAGCGTCTGGTGTGTGTTTCCCACACAGAGTCCGTGTTTTGTGCCGCCGAAACGACCGACCTTTTTCGAATGTACCGTGCGACAAACGTGTTTTATGACTAGCAAACTCGTACGTCGTTGTGGAGGGCACAAAACAAGCAAAGTCTGATGTGGAATGATGGCTTGTAGAGGGGTGGAGAGCAGACGGTGTGTGCGCGTGAGATATCGCAAATGCCCTTTTAACGGATTTTTTTTGGGAACAGTTTTTGAAGTTTGCTCGGGTCAGATGCACAAACATCGCTGTCTGGCTCACGATTCCACTCCTCCTTAAAGTTCAACCTCGTGTTTCCAGGGGCAGCCGACTTATTCGACAATCATTGCCGACGAGAGGATGCGCGAGATGCGGAGAGCGGGCAGTGAGAAAAAAGGGGTCTTGAGAAAGGGTTCAGTTTTCTTACTGCAATCAATCCCGCTACGAAAAAAGCAGTTCTTCGAAAAAGCCCACGATTTCTGGGAGGTTCCGGGTAGATTCCAATTTTTTTCCACCTATGACGCTGAACCACGAGTTTTGCTCGGATACAATTTTTTGGATGACACTGTACAAGGTCCACAATAGGACGAGATTTTGCAGGGTCCAAGTAATTCGAGCAACTGTTTCGTTATGAATATTTTTTGTCATTTTATGGGGCTGCACGTTGTAAAATAAAAAGTTATTGTGGATGAAAATCGTGGCTGTATATTATCCACAAACAAAATTAGGATTCATCCGTGACCTCCGTTTAATCTCTGGCAATTTTGAGCACGAAGAATTACTTTTTTTCAATGTTCAAGGTGCAACATTGCTCAGGTTATTTTTTTTTCTATTTCTCACGCACTTGGCCACTTATCGCTCTCTAGAAGTTTTAATTTGCCCTACAGTCGAGATATTCAACGAAATCTTTGTTAACGAGATAGTACGTAAACTTTGGAGAACGGGCTTTGGCTATATCTTTGTCAATTTTGAGCCGAGTTTTTCTTGTTTTTTTTGAAGAACGATTGCTCTCCATGGTAAAAATAAATATACCCCATTTTGACCAAAATTCGTAAAAAAAATGTCAGTTATTGCAACTTTCAGAGAGTGGCTTGTAACTTTAATCTTTCAGAGGGATTACCCGAAGGACGACGCTCAGATTTTCTTTAAATTTTGAACACACTTCGGGCATAGACTAAATATCAATTCCTAAAGGTTTTAGCTCGTGCTTTGCGGGCGCTGCCGAGAATGTTGAACGATTTTTGCCGCCGAAAGAATACTAAGAGCGGTCAGAGAGAAAAACACTTTTTGGCTATAACTTTGCTGGTTTCGTGCGGAAAAAAATTGATTTTTTGTGGAAACATTGCACTCTATTTTAGAAATATTCGTGAAATTTTTTGTGCCGAAATTTAACAAAATGTGTCAAATTTTCGCCGACTTTCGATCTCAAGATTTCGGTTGTTTCTGTAAAGCGCGACCTGGGATTCTTGCCTGTATTTTAGAAAAAATTGTTCTAAATTTGTGCCAAGTTTCATCAAAATCTGAGCGTCGCACTTGGGGTACTTCCCCTGTTAGTTTCAATTGTTTACAGCTTGACTGTTTTTATAAAAAAGGTCTCGAACATTGATGTGTGTGCGTTAGAATCACAGAGTGACTAATCTGTTTTCAAAACACACTCTCTGACATGTGCGATAGCACTTTTAAAAATGGTTGTGTTTCATCCGTTTCAAATTTTTCCCAAAAGAAATCATGTTTTTTAAAAAAATTTATCAATTTTTCATTTTGAAAATCAAAAAAATTTTTTTTGAAAATAAAAAAAGTAACTTTAAAACCCTTTCAAAGACGTAGACTTTGTTAGCCTACATTCCCAAAGAAGCCGTTTTTCTACCTTCTAGTTTGATCCTCTCAAAACCCCCTTCGGGGTTTGACACTGAACCAAACATATTATTAGGTTGTCCAACAAATAATGACCCTCTGTGAGAGGGGAAAAGTTTAAAGCCTCTAAAAAAGGCAAGCGATGATGGAATTTTGAAATATTACAACATTTTGTAGCTGAGATTTCAGGCTTTCGTTTGATGTATCGTTTGTCATATTGGGACCAAATTCCAGTAATTTAGCCCTAATCGAAAATTATCAAAAAAAGTCGGTTCGTGCTGTCATCTTTTACGGGCAAAAACAGGACGCGAAAGTTTCAGAAGCTACGCAAAGTATCAACGCTGTGTTCGACTAGTGTGTTCTGAGTCTGAACACGGTGAAACGATGGATTTAAATATTACGACTTGACGGCAAGGGACCCAAAGATAAAGTACGGAATCCGAACTTTATCAATTTACCCTGAGGTCGTCGGTTGGCGAACATCCTAGAATCAACATTCAACGCGTCTCTGACGTCGTCTGGCTGTTGAAATAATCGGCGGCTAACCATTCGATGTCGATGGAATTCAAAAAATGCTCGGCAAATTTTTCCCATTTTATTGGATCAAAGCAAAGAGTGGAAGCATTACATTTCTCGCGTTTGCGTGCCGTTTTCTGGATCGAATCGTTGCCTCTGATGGAAAGAGGACCTACTGGGACAACCAGACCAGATATGCTGAACGGAGGCCTCCTAGGGTATCACTGCGGGACTTGTCAAAGCCCGACTCCCCCCAAAACAAGGTGATGACTACTTCTTGATGGTGCAGCATGGGAATAGTACAATACAGCTTCTTGAAAGCTGGCCAAAATGTAGATACCATACCCTACTGTATCCAGATAGACAGTTTTTTGGCAGCGTCTGTCTTCAACGATGCGCCGCAGAAGTCCAAAAATTGTTAGCGGCTACACGGAACCTCCCCTTTGAAAGATGACCCTCCAGAAGCGGATTTAATAGAGATAGGAGACTGTCCCTTGTCCAGCCTATTTGTCAAAGCTGGTCTATACACATTACCATCAGTTCAAGAATCTAGGACGTTTCATCAGTGGTAGAGAATTCGACAATCAAGACACCCTTGAAAAGGCCTTCAAAAGTTTCATCGGCTCCAGAAGCCGGGGTTCCTAAGCTACAGACATAAAAAACTTTTCGCCACGTTGTAACAAGCGTGATAAAGCACATGATAATTTTTTTGATTAAATACATCGCAGTTATTACGGTAAATTTTGCCGAAAAAATAAATTTTTCGAAGAGGGTCATTATTTGTTGGACAACCTAATAATAATTTATTTATCTCACAACCCTTACGATTTATTTATTTTCCGACATTGAAGAAGTCGTTTTCTCTATATAAGAGCGAAGGAATAAGAATTTTTTCTCGAGCTCGATAATGTTTGCTGGATTCGCTACCAATTTCAAAAAGTAGCGGAAACCTCAATTTGCAACCTCCAAAAAAGACGTCGGAAGCAAATCGGCCATTTTGCGACGGCGCAGAATTGGGAGGTAGCAAATCGGCCCTTTTGCGACGGCGCAAAATTGGCAGGTAGCAAATCCATGGATTTGCGACGTCCCAAAACAAGCCCCGCCCCCTCAATTTTTCAGCCATCACGTTTTGGCTTTTTTGACGGAAAAACACCGTTTAGGGTGAAAAACTTATAGCTGATAAATCGTACATTTACGAAATTATGAATAATAAAAACGTCCCTCTTCATCGTTATATTATTTATTAATAAAAGACGTACGTTTTCATGTAAAATATGCGGGTTTTCCACAATATTGTCTAAATACGGCCGGATAGTCGATGGATGGGGTTGAAGAACATGGCCGCTTACAGATCTTTCTGGAAATCGAAATCAATATAAATTTCCTTCTGATTAGAAAAAAAGCCTTCTGTTACCTCATAGTTCATGTGTCTAATCCAAGCATCGAAACGGACATAATGTTGAGCAAAAATACGGCCGACTGGAGTGAAACCGAGTTCCAGGCAACAATTTATTACCTAAAAACAGAATAATAATACTTAAATCAAATCTTACCTCCTTTAACAACTACCACACGGCTTTTCCCTTGTCCGATTTCGTTGTTTCTGCCTCCTGAAAACGGTTTGTAAGACTCTTGCCATGAATAATATAAAAAAAATTGGAAATCTCGTCTAAAGTCAAAAAATAATAACAAAACAGCTTACCATGGCTAAAAAACGGTTGATTTGATTGATAACGCCGAGGACATCCTTGTTATTGGACCTAAAATCCGTTCTCGGACTGCGTGGCATTTCGTTTTCACGGGCCGCGAAAACATTCGCAACTTCATAAATTCTTTTTTTCCTGTTTTCTTATGTTTCCTTTTGTTGAAATTGGCCAAATATTTAGATGCAGAGAAGCTGAATTAGAAGACAAACCGGCTCAAGGTGATCGCCATAAACATCGGGGACGAAATTGGCGGGCAAAAAAGGCTTTTTGATTCCATGGTAAGTTGTTTTTTTTATTATTTTTTGATTTTAGACGAGATTTCCAATTTTTTCTAGGCAAGAGCCTTATAAATCGTACACAGGCGGCAGAAATAATGAAATCGAACAAGGGAATGGCCAAGTGGTAGTTGCTAAAGGAGGTAAGATTGGATTTAAGTATTCTTATTCTGTTTTTAGGTAACAAATTATTACCTGGAACTCCGATTTCACTCCCGTCGGCCATATTTTTGCTCAAAGCTATGCCCATTTCGATGCTCGGATTAGACACATGCAATATGAGGTAAATGAAGGTGTTTTTTTCTGAAAATGATAAGGAAATTTTACATTGCTTTTGATTTCCAGGAAGGTAATTTGGCGGCCATGATCCATCCCTCGACTTCGGCCATATCTGGCAAAACATGTTCTTCAATTCCATCCATCGACTCTCCGGCAATGCTTGGACAATGTTGTAAAAAACGCATATTTTATACGAAAATGTACGTCTTTTATTAATAAACCAGAAATTAGGGGGTCCCTTCGGGCCCCCCTATTTCTGGAACTTTTACTTATTCTTTTACTCTTGCTTTGTTGGCACCGATAAATTGTTCACTAATTGCTTAAAATTCCCAAAATTTGCGCCAAATCTCAAAACAATTGTTCTGAAATAAGCAGTTTCAGACCGGCTCTTGGTGAAAAGCCTCCCCGCCACGTCAAGGCGGCCGGTCGTTGAGGAGGTTATAGGGGGCCCTAAGGGCCCCCATTTTTTCTTTTACAGTGTTTATTTCAACGAAATCCAATAAACGCAAAAATTAAAAGGAAAAGTTCATTGAGCAATTACCTTTTCTAGTCTTCCAATAATTTTGTGACATTTCATCCATATCTGTGTCGTTTCGTTTTTTCAGATTTTTTGAGAGAAAATATTTTTTTTGATGTTTTCTTGACGTTTATCTTCACTTTTTGACACTGATAGAGTTTTTATTAATCTTACCTGATTTTTGGGACATGATTTTGACCGGCTCTTGGTGAAAAGCCTCCCCGCCACGTCAAGGCGTCAAGTTGTAGACGAAAAAAACGCATATTTTATACGAAAATGTACGTCTTTTATTAATAAATATTTTAACGAAGAAGACTTTTTCTTTCATAATTTCGTAAATGTACGATTTACAAGCAAAATTTTTCACCATAAATGGTATTTTTTTGTCAAAAAAGGCCAAAACGCGGTGGTTGGCTGCAAAACTCAGGGGGCGGAGTTTATATGTATTTGGGACGTCGCAAATCCGCGGATTTGCTACCTCCCAATTCCGCGCCGTCGCAAAAACGCCGTTTTGCTACCTCCTCTCTCGCGGAGGTAGCGAAAACGCCGATTCGCGACCGACTTTTTTCGGAGGTCGCGAAAAGAAGGATTCGCTACCGAGACCACGTCGCAAATCGATCATTTCGCTACTTTTTGAAATTGGTAGCGAATCCAGCAACCATTCTCGAGCTCGAGAAAAAATTCTTATTCCTTCGCTCTTATATCTTCTTTTCTGTTTTCCCACAAAACTTTTTTGCTTTGTGATTTCTTCGGGGCTCTCCGCCTCTGACTTGTGGCTGAGATTTTTTATCTTCCTCCGAAGAATCACGTCCTTCTTTTCGTTTCAGACCCTTTATAATGATGCAGTTGGATTTTGAATTCCGGTCGAAGGAGTTCCCACCGACTCCCTGTGCCATCTGCGCACATCCCCATCCTTGTCAACGGTTCGGAGTGCTGGCTTGTCAGTAAGTTGAGGATTACTAAATTTTTGAACGGATTCTGCATAAGATTTGGGCTTATAAAGTGCATTTATCCATGAATAAAAGGATAAAAAATTGAAATTTTGTAGGAGATATAAATCGTTACAGAGAGAAAGATAATAGAAACTATTTATATCGTTGGATAGGTCTTTTTTCAGTCTATCTGAAAACCAATTTTTACTCCTTTTCATTTTTGGGCTAGCTAGTTATCAGCTGAGGCGCGCAGCCCTGTTGTCATTTTGAGCGAAAATCGGGACCGATCGGTGGCGGCAAAAAACCTCGGAATGCCGTGGCATATGACACATTTGAGATTCTGAAAGTCTAGGCTCGTTTTTTGAGGAGGTCTATGAGGTCTTTAATATGATCTATGTCGACAAAAGAGTTCGCGAAAGATGAAGATCGGTCAGAGAAGATCTCGTTTTTATTATAGATCACTAGGGCTGCCAATCCCGCACAGAAAATTTTTGTTTATCGAAACTTTATAAGGATAGGTGTCTCCTGGCTAAAATCGGTGGTGCTCTCGAAACTTTGTAGCGATTTTCAATCAAAGAAACTGCCACAAGAAAGTTCTTCGTGAGGGTTTCTTAACGGAAAAGTATTTTTTTTCGATGTAACCTGCTCCTTTGTGAGTTGTGACATTTCGTTTGGACGAGACTATAAAGAGACAGTCTTCTACTACTTCGGTATGCTTGCTTTGGCCTTTCCACGCCGTAGGGATCAAAAAAATTATTAAAAACGGAACCTTCAAGGTTATGTCATCAAATCATTGATAGGCAACTTCTTACGGGCTCGTTGTTTTATAGCTCTTGAGATTTTCAAGACCATTTCTTTCTCTGTACACAGGGGACTCGGATTTACTTATAAGTAAAATTTTTTACTTATATTTACCAACAACTTACATATAAGTTAAAAAAGGCCAAGAAAAAAAAGACCTAAAAAGTGCTCTTGCATTTTTACCGTAACCTACTCTCAACCATAAAAAAGCTGTAATCCTACTGTAATCTTCCTTTTTTTTCGTTGAAAAAAAATTTATTATCTAAATGTAACCTGCGCTTTTTTCATTTCCTGGTAAAGTAGCACTTTCAAAAATTACAATCAAAAAACCATTCGGTATTCCAAATCCCAGCGTGGATTTAATCCGTTTTCGCGCCGAAAGCTTAATTTTTTCAGTCATTACGGGCGATTGGTCCTGAAAGGCCACGTGACAAACCCGTCAACGAAAGCCGACGTCATCCGGAGCGTGGACACTCCCTCTTCGATGGAATCGGAGCAGTCCGCGCGTTCGACGAGCCGAGAACAGTCCATTGTCAGCGAGCGGAGTGGGTGCAGTATGGAGAGCAAACCTGCGATGAATATGGTAAGAGATTGTATTATACTTGTTCTACTTTTCAAAGAATGTACAACTTGTTTGTAGTGCTAGTCCGTTTGCAGAGTTTCTGTATGATTGTTTGGCGCTTGCACATTTGCAAAAACTTGTAAAGTCGCTGGAGTGATTTCTGCGATATGCACTGTGCAATAAATATCAGGGTGCGAGCGATAGTAAATACAAAAAAAGCCTATTGCACTGGGAAAAGTGAAATTTTGTTTTCTCACAGTGTATGTCGCCAAAATCACCGCGACGACTTTGCAAGCGGACTAGTAGTTGCGAGGTCTTTGTAAATCACCTTTTTATGGGCCATGTTTAGTAAAACAAATTGACTTAAAACCTCTGTACAACAAATCACTGGGTACTACATAGATGGGTCAAAAAGTCTTGGTACGTTTTCTTTGGTCAAAGGTACACAGTGCATTTCCCATTTGCACTGTTCTGTTTTTTTTGTCGTACAAAACCCCCTTTGGTGACGGCGGCTGCATCGTGTGAGGACATTCTAACGATAAGACTTTTTTTTTGGCCTTCCCAGTGCCAAAAAATTTATTTTTTATAGAAGGGTTCCGTTGTAGGCAGGCTCACTTTGACCAGAAAATGACTGACTTTTGGTACCCTCGAAATCTCTTTTTTCATTCTTGCAACTCTTGAAGCTGTTCATTATAGACATTCTTTGTAACACGGGGTTTGTTGTTCAAAAGTTTATTGTTACGGTAATCAAGCAAAGCTAGGATCGTACGATTGTATTTTACAACCTGTTTCTTCTCCCTCTCTCTACTATATGTAAATTTATTTTTATTTTTCAGGAGCCCACCGTATCTTCCTCCCTTCTAAATCATCACCATCTCATATATGAGCATTTTCAAGCCGAAGAACGCAAATTATTCCTCCAATCGAACCCACATCTTGAAAATACCCCTATATCGTCTTCAAATCTATCGCCATTAACGCCCACCGAGCATCAACGAATCGAGTCTGCGACCCTGCCGTTGGTATACTCGCTGCTCAACGACATGTCCCCGAGCTACCGTCGTCTTTCGCATGAGACAAAGATGGAGATCCTGGGCAATTTTTCGCCCGCTTTTTTGTATCTACATCGATGCTATGCGACGGCCAGGCTGTTTTCGGATGAAAATAACCGAAAACAAGTCATTCATTGTGGGTATTTCGCGGACGAGACGATAATTCCGGAGGTAGTTCTGAAGAATGACGCCGTCTTGAACTACCTTCAGTTTTGCCGCCCCATCGTGGACAAACAGGTGATGGCGGCGAAGCTGATGAGAGACGCGAATTTGGACGAAAAGGAGTTCATAGCCATGGTCAATGTGTTGTTTTACAATACATGTAAGTTTTTACGCAACTTTTTTGAGGGTATCAGTTTGTCGGGAAAATAATGAGTGCAATGTCAATGCTCCAATCGCGTTGCTGATATGAAAAGCAATTTAGTTTTGCTGCGACATAATTCATTTTCTCTGTGGCGATGCTATTTTCAACGCCGCAGAGTGCTCATTATTTTCCAGACAGACTGATAGCTCTAAAAAAATGCTGGCCACAGTCTGCTCTAATTTCCGACAGACTGACATGCCATGTCAGACATGGCTGCCGGGCCAAGGTTCGAGAATTTTTAGGCCTAGAATCCAGCCCATTCAAAGGAAGCCATGCGCTTTCCGGCTGGGTATGGTAACGCGGTCGACACGGCCCGGGCTATTTCGATTTTTAGCCCGATTGGATTTTTTGGTCTAGCACTTGGGCCTGGTACATAGTTTTGCTAAAAAACCTCTGCATAACGAATACCACAAAAGAACCAAATAGTTTCTTCATCATAGAGGGGTTCGGTGACCCCTAATATGTTTTGTTATAGTCGGGCCTTGTTTTACACAGGTTCTTTGTTGTATCGCGGGTCCAAGCTTTAACAACAAAATTTTTTCGACAGGACTTATTCGACCTTGCAATTTGTGGAAGAGCGATATTTCTAAACACCTAATTTCCCGGGCACATTGGCTCTTCGTATACGAAAAAAGCCGTTTTAGTAACCCCGTAAGATCCTAATACCACCCCAACGATTCCTCTCGTATTCGGAGTCCTTTTTCTTCGAAACCACATAAAAATAAATTATGTCCGGTTACAGTAACGAGTTCAATTTTTCAGTGCGCGACATGAACATCACGAGTGTCGAAGCCGACGCCACGATGGACCAGATCAATGATCTTTTGTTCCGCCATATCCAACAACTCCACGGTTCCAGTCAAGTTGGGATTCGACTAGGGAAAGTCCATCATATCATCCATTACTCTACAGTACGTTGTTTTGTCAATACGAGAGCTACTTGCAAACTGGGTGTTTACTATATGTTTTCAGGTCAGAGCTTCGGAATTGGCCGAATCCAACCTTATGTTGAGGTACTTCTTCCCGCGGTTTTGCACCGGGGTATGGGAGAACTCGGCGTTCTTCAAGTAATAGTTTCAACTTTGACGTTACCGTATTTTACAACCGAGTAATCAACGATCTCCGCACAAATATTTGGACGAATACACTTATATTTTGTTATTTTGTCTGACAATGTCTGTAACATATTGTTGTGCACAGTAAATGCAGATTTGACCATGAAAGAAAACGTATTTTACATTGTGTTTAGTCGTCGTTGATTCTTTCAGCGAAAGCCCTGAAAGTATTATAAAACAAACACCTTCTTAAAAGTCTTGAAAGCATTTTCTACCATTCGCGTAGATCTAAATGTACTTATGTTCAGTGGTGATTAAAAAACGGCCACCCCAAGGTGATGCGCTCTAACGCAGGAGAGAGTGATCGAAGGTAGATAAATATGGTATCAGTGTAAAGCTTATGCAATACTAAGACGTGCGATTTTAAACTTTTGGTAATGTAGTGCAGGCCTAGCACGTACTAGGGCAATATGTTCTTTTGGCCTGGTCAAAAAATGGCCACCCATAATTAGTACGCTTTAAACACGTTTTTTGTTAGAGATTGCCGCCATAGGCGACTGGACTAGGGTAACTTTGTCAATACATATCAGTTCCACTATTTCTTACTTTTTTACATAAGCCCAAGACGATTTGGTCCAAAGAGGGCACCTTGGCGAAGAGGGCACCTTGGCGAAGAGAGCCCCTTGGCAAGCAGGACACCTGGTCGAGAAAGGTACCTTGAGAAAAGAATAGTATGTTAAGGGAGGGTCAAGCCGATCCAGGTGCTCTTTTCGGATCCAACCCCCAAGGCATTTCTGAAAAAAACGGATTCCCCGACACAGGCCATATTTTGAGCGAGAGTCAACGGCGCCTTGAGGATCCCAGCCAACCGAATCTTAATACGCTCGACGGAGCCCTTACAATTAGCCTACAAAAGGAGAGTATAGGAAAGTTTACACTTTCTATTAGAAAATCGAAATACTTGAGGAGGACAGTGAGCCTTTATTTACAACGGGAATACCCTAAGCCTATTTAAGATTTAGGATTTTTTTTTTAAATTTTGCACACATCTTGGGGACGGGTCATGTATCAATGCTCGCGCTTTTCAAAGGCAGATTAAATATTCTACAATCTTTGCGGCCGACAGAGATGTGAGAGCGGTCACAGAGAAATATTTTTTGGCCGAAAATTTGCCAATTTTTCGAGGAAAGAATAGATTTTTTGTCAAAACACCTTAGATGGTATGCAAACTCATACGAAACTGCCTATGCCAAAATTCGTAAAAAAAATACGGTACTTTCTCGTCAACTTTTGTCTTAAAAATCTCGGTCGTTTCTGTATAGCGAAAGCTAGGAATTTCGCGTATGTTTTAGAAGAAATTATGTTAAATTTGTGCCAATCTTCACCGAAACCTCAGCTTCGCTCTTGGCGTACTTCCCCTGTTAGCCACAAAGGGCCCACACAGCAATTCCTGAAAATTTTAGCCCTATCGTAGTTTTGCTGTAGCCGAAATCTTCAACAATCTTTGTCGATGCGAGACTACGCCACACGTAGAGACAAAAGAACCAACTGTTTGTTTTTACAATTCTCTAATTATGACTTGACTGTAGCCTTCACAACCCACCTTCGGCTGTGTTCATCGGCGTGTCTGACCCCTTCGCCTCTCCCGCGTCAAGCGATTATTGATAAAAACAGCCGTTGACCACGCGGTTCTCCCTTCTTTTTCTCCATTTTCGTGCTTCCAAACTTGAAAACAGCTTTATGCGGAACTTTATTCAACTTTGTAGACAAGTTGGTCGCTAATTGGACTTGGTTTAGGGAGTGTAAAATACGCTTTCTCTTGCTCTGTGATTAAATTAAAGCGCAATGAAGCCTCTTTTTAAAAGTGCAACAAAAGATAACAGCAAGAGATTTATCATGCAAAGCCTGATTATAGCAAAGCATTTTATTCTATTCAATCTCTGAAAACGTTTATCTTGCTTCCAAAAGCATTCATGATATTCGAGGACCTTGTTTTAAGGAGAGCACGCGAAATTGGGAGAGTGGGTCAGACAAAAAACTTTTTTTGCGTATAACTCGTCTTCTGCCACAGGGAATATTTTGATTTTTTGGGGGGGGGAGGGGCATAGCATTCTGTCACAAACAGCGACGCCGTTGACGCTAGTCGGGATCAACGTATCATCTGAGAACCCCTAGCCCCCCTAGCGCATGATAAACTTGGCTCAGAAGACCGGGCTGGGCCAGAATAGCGAAAAAACCGAGCTCCTCTTTGATTTGGGTTTTTGTCACAAGTAAAAACACCGAAATAGATCTAAATTTTAGTCGATTTCGTAGTCAATCTGTTAAACAACTAGGGCTTTCTTCCAAAACTGATAAGTTTAAGCCATTACCAACTTTTTTAGTCCAAGTTCGCATTTCCTAAGGCGCTTGGACATTTCGTCCACACACTATCGATTGACAAAAGATTTTAGCTGACAAAGTTGTTTGATAATATTTTTTAATGGCAAAATTAGTCACAAAAAATCAAAAGTTTAAAACATTAGTTTCTGACCAGAGATCAAGGTTTTAAGCCGGCTAGGCAAGAGAAAAACAGTCATAATTTTCTCGAAAATTCCATTTGCGACGAAACGCCATATCGATTAAATCAAGGTCATAAAACAGCTTTTACTAGGCTAGTTTGACTAACGCTCGCACTTATCAGTCTGTCGGGAAATTAATGAGCACAATGCTGTAGTAAAAAGCGACTTAATTCTGACGCGACACAATTCATTTGCTCGGCGGCGACGTGACTTTCCATACGACAAAATGCTCGTTATTTTCCCGACGGACCGATGTTGTCGCCTCAGTCCAGACGCACTAAAAATACGACAATTATGTCGTCGTTACGTCGACGACTTTGTTTTGAGCACTTCCCGTCGCGCCTATAGTTTTTGTTCCCTTCATTTCCGCCATGTAATTAATGTGTACTTTAACAAAATTCCAGCCCCTATAATCACCTCCACTTTTTACATCATTATCAAGCTACTCATTGATGCCCAGAACCTTCGAGTCACGTTCGGCCGGCGAAGCACATGGAGTGCGTAGCGCTGTAATTTTGTTATAATCTTTGGCTGTCTGAAGTGGGGCTTGTTTTCCCGTCTTTGCTGCACCGAACGCGACGAACTCTCATGTTGGAACGGGTGTTTATAGTGCGACGCGGAGTAAATTTTTTCGGCTTTTGCAAGGCGACGTTCCGAATGGACTACGACTAGTCGCGACATAAAGTCCGAAGAGTTTTTTCGGCAACATCGCTCGCAGAAAAGTCCATGTCGTAGCACATCAAACTGAGATAAGCTATAAAACAGTCCGGTGAATGGATTGGCAATTCGCGAAAAAAAGACACGAAAAAAAGTTTTGTCGGGGAAGAAATGGGGAATTTTTGGGGCGAGAGAGTACGTCTTTGTGTGTATTTTTTCTCTCTTTCTCTGCGAAATCAGGGCGAAGTGTGAAAAACCGATAGCGAAGAGTCTATTCCGGTCACCGGACTCCTCAGTTTAACGTGCGTAGTGCAAAAACAAGAAGTCGCCGCGACACAGGCGAAAAAAGATACTGTACAAATTCTACGGACTTTATGGCGTGACTACTAGTGTAATACTAGTCCTTTCTTAAAGTCGCCGGAGCGGTTTTTGGCGCTTGCACAGTACAAAAAACTCAATGGGAGCGATAGCCCAATGAAGCTTATTGCACGGTGCAAAAAGCCAAAAATTGCACAGTGGAAAGTGAACTTTTTTTCGCACAGTGCATGTCGCTGAAGTCATGTACCTCTATTCTCAGCGATTCTGCGAATGGAAGTGCATACAAAAACCTTATGGAGATGTGGATTTCTCATGCCATAAAGTCAGTAGAAATTTTGCATAGTTCGTCTTTATTTTTTCGCACATGCCTCGGAGATTCCCCGTTTTTTGCACTTACAGCATGCTCTTTTTCGCAAGTTCACACAATTTTTTTCTTGCGACATCCGCGATAAATCTGTCGGGAATTTATGGCGCGAGTAGTATCAGTCTGTCGGAAGAATCATACGTGGAGTGTTATAACAGATTTACCGCAGCAAAATGTCTGAAATGAGGAAAAATGCACTATGCGCAGCGGCAAAAAGTCTACGCACTTTGTGAAAAGACTAGTCATAAAAGTCTGCGTACTTTATGAAAAGACTAGTCATATGTTTGTATATACATATAATGAGGTCGTTAAGTCGTTAATTTGACGCGTCAGGCGTCATGTCAAACTCTCATGTGATTTTGATAAACTCGACTTTTTCGGAATTTTTTTTTCTAAATAAATAGCCCCTTAGTATTTACCAATTGGAATCACGATTTCCTCATCGTAATTTGCGTAGTATAATATTATATAAATTTTGCATTACATGAATCAATCAAATTTACCCGCCGCTTTCAAAGTTATAGGAGTTAACCTTATGATAATAACCCAAGCCACTTCTACATGTGGAAACGTAATTCGCCAACTAACTGCCAAATCTATCGTTTGAATTTCCTGTTGTAGGCAAATGTTGGCCGACTTCTGCAATGACGGACCTGATACAGTGGCAAAAAACGTACCATTTTGCATCCGGGAAGTATCAAAAAATCTAGCAAAATGTCTCCTTTCCCAATTAAAAATACTTGAAAGAAGATGCGCGATTTTGAAATTGGAGTTTTCTCACTTGTAGAGGGAGGTATTTTGCCACATTTCTGATACTTCCCGGATGCAAAATGATACTCTTTTTGCCGCTGGATCAGGTCCGCCGCTGTAAAAAGGCCAGCAGTGGTTCTTCTAGCCTCCGACTCTCCTCATTTCCCGCGCTCTCCCAAACCCAATGTCATTGATTTTCTCAACGATCGCTAAAAAGCGCAAAGTGAAATTTCGCAAGATTTCCCCAAAAAATTCTTTTGCTTCACAGCGTGCAACAAAAGTTATTTCTAAAAATTCCATCTCTCCAAATTTATTTTTCCACCCAAAACTGCGCGTTTTCGAAAAGACAATAATAAATTGATTTGTTGC